GTAGAGTTTGTAGTTTTGGTGTTGGTGTACTGTTCCGCGCTGCCATCTGCAATTGCTGAGTGAAATGAAGTACTGCGTCATCTAGTTGCTCGCTGTTAACAATATGATCAAACTTGTGCAAATGTACAAGCTGAAGCTGAAAATATTTCCAGTCGGTAAATTTATTTGCTAACTTGGGTGTGTTCTGGTTTATTGTTGGATTTTGTGAAACTATCAGCAGCACTGGTGAGTGGTCAGAGCTAAAGTCGAAGCCTTCTGAGGTGGTTAGGTGAGATGCTGGAATGTTTTTGTAGACAAAGAAGTCGATTAGGTCTGGAACTTTGCTAGTATCCGACGGCCAGTACGTTGGTTTACCAGTTGAAATTGAATTGCAAGCTGCGAGTTGCATGGCTTTGTACATTTCTCTTCCTTTCGTTGTAGTAAGTCTTGAGCCCCAAAACGCATTTTTTGCATTGAAGTCTCCTCCAATTATAAAACGGCCTTGAAACCGGTTAAAAAGAGATAAGTAGTCTGCGCACTTCAACTGATGCCTGGGAGGACTATATAATGCAGTTACGACCAGCGGCTGATTAAAGGTTTCCACGGAAACAGAAGTAGCTTGAAATTCGATTGTGCTATATTGTTCTAGTAAGTGATGTTTTATCGAGTTTCTAATTATGACAGCGCTGCCACCCCTAGCGCAATTATCAGGATGTATGGTATGGTATAGAATATAGTTTTTAAACGTTATGTGCGATTGCTTAGTAAAATGAGTTTCAGCGATTAAACCGATATCAATGTTTTCGCTATTTAATACGACTTCGAGTTCATTTTTATGTTTTGTTATGCCATTCGCATTCCATAAGAATAGTTTCAAACGATTAGTCATAATCTAAAAATTGCATATTGTGCTCTAGCACGCTCAGACGTTGTTCGAGCGTTTTAAATACCTCTTCTTGTAGATTAAGTTTTGTTAAGATAATTGACAACGCGTTGTTGCTTTGTGACTCAGTACTTTGAATGGGTCCCTTTACAGTTTGGGTGTAAATGACTGTTCTAACACTAGTAGGTCCAGTAATTTTGGATTTACTTTTTGTTACAGCAACTTGATTATTTTCGTCAGTCTTAGTTTTGTCAGCTTTGTTTTTTAATTTTATTTTTTGTAATTCTTTAGCGACTATACAACCACGATAGTTCGCTGGATGCGGTTCGCCACAGTTGCAGCATTTAGGCTTATCGGACACTGTCTTTTGGCACTCCGAAGTTAAATGTTTGCCGGCGCATTTAACACAACGTGGAGGTTTTCCACAGAAATTTTTTTTGTGTGAATTTAAATTTTTTTTAATTTAAATTCAATATGTATTCTGTCACATAGTATGGTGACATTTCACAATTTTTTTAATAAATACTAATTGAGACTTGATCATTTACAATTAAAGTAGTTCTCCCTGTAGAGAGCTACTCTTTTCTTTTTAATTTAAGATTTTTATAATAAAATTTGATTTTTATAATAAAATTTGATTTTTATAATAAAATTTGATTTTTATAATAAAATTTGAAGCGGCGTTTTCCTTTTCAGTCTCGTAAATATATTTGAGGGGAACATCAAATTCGAAGCAAGGATGTTGGGATGAATTTGTATTCGTTCATGGTATTTTCTAGCTACCTTTTTTACTTCATCTCTTACCGAGATTATCCTAAGGTCCCGATGGATTTGAATGTTAGTTACATACCATGGAGCATTTACTATTTCTCGTAAAGTTTTAGATTGAAATATTTGAAGAATTTCTATGTTGGATGTTGAGGCTGTTCCCCATAATTGAATGCCATAGGTCCATACTGGTTTTAGCACACTTTTATATAAAATAAGTTTATTCTTTAGAGATACTGAAGATTTTTTATTCAGTAGCCAAAACATTTTTCTGTATTGAATCCCAAGGGATTTCCTTTTGTTAAAAATATGCGTTTTCCATGTCAGACGTCTATCTAAGTGCATGCCCAAGTATTTAGCGCTATTTGATTGCGGAATTATTATATTATTAAGTTTAATTTCCGGGTGTCTTTTCTCGTTGTGAATGTAACATGAGTAGATTTTGTTTCATTTGCTTTCATGCGCCAATACTGCAACCATTTTGATATACGATCAAGACCAGCTTGTAGTTTGAAAGAGGTTACAGAGGGATCAAACGATTGACCGAACGATTGACATTTTTTGCATTGAGGAATTAAGTTTGACGGTTTGATGGGTTCAATCTTTACAATTGTGTTAAGAATACTTCTTATCTCATAGATTTTCTTCACATCTTCGGTTGAGTCAAATGACAAAAGGAACATATCAAGCGGTTCTTTACTCTTCCATTTGAGTTTGTTTATTGCACCGATTGCTTTTAAACCTTGGTTGTTTAAGTCATTTATAATTGTTTGAGATTTGGCACAGCAACTAGGCGATATGGCAGCACACATTTAGTAGTTTTTGACGATGGCATCCTAACATCTGGCAGCGATAATTTTGGCTTCGCTTTTTTGCTTTTTCCTTCTCCTTCTTCTTAATTGGCTACTGGCGGTGTGTGCACGTTTTTTTGGCTTGACAAGATATTAATAATTTATCAGTTCAAAATTTGAATAAGAATGTAATAAAATTTAATTGACTATATCCTTAACGAATAAATACATAAACTTTTGCGTGTGTGGAAATTCGTGTTTGTTTTTCATACATTTGTTGGTGCCGAAACCCGGGAATTTCGGTTTTTATTTAAAATTAAATTGCGTTTTTGGCTATTTTGGCGTTTTTATACGAAGAAAATATGGCTGCCCTAAATAGGCGTACGGCTGCGTGGTCATCATTAAAGCGGGTAGCTGCAAAAATAGTGGCGGATGACTACGTTGAGGATGGCTTTGGTATGCAGCAAGATCGTGCAACATTGCAGGCACACTTCGAAAAACTACAAACTGCACATGGTGAGTTGGTGGCTTTGGCAAGAGATGATACTGAATTATTGTCTCACATCAAGTTGTGGGACGAAGTGGGAGACTTATATAACGAGGTGTGCGTTGCATTGCGGCGTGAGTTGGCCCGTTGTGATGCACAAAATACGGATGCACCTTCCAATATGGCAGGCGGTGTTGTATCTTCCCAAGGCTTGGCAATTAAATTGGAACGATTGGCGGTACCCAAGTTTGATGGCACGATGCGCAATTGGCTGGCATTTAAGGACACATTCGAGACATTGGTACATTCGCAAGAGTTTCCAGAGGCATACAAGCTTGGCAAACTGCGAGAGGCAGTCCATGGTGATGCAGTGGCGCTTGTCGGAGGCATGTACAGTGGCGGGTACGATGAGGTATGGGCTGCACTGAAGGCTCGATACGACAATTCGAAACAGTTGGCTGAAATACACGTGGCTAGGCTAATTGGCTTCAACCCACCACAGGCTGAGTCAACATCTGCGTTGCTCTCGGTGGTTGATACAGTGCGAGAGTCCTTGCGAGCACTTGCAGTAATGAACCTACCTGTGGATCAATGGGATGCATTGGCGGTACCCATGATAGTGGCCAAGTTACCAACAATTACGCAACAGGCATGGGGCATGAGCCGCACAACTAATCAAATTCCTCCTTTGGCAGATTTGCTTGCATTTTTGGAGACACGAGCTCACAGTCTAGTTGGCACTGTTTGGCGAGAAATGGAGAGCAAACCAAAATCTGATGGCAAGACCGCTACACTACAATATCGTGGCACATCTTAGGCTGATTATAAAAGGCCAGGCTCACGTCTAATGAGGACAAACCTAATAGCAACTACTTCAGGCCACTGCCAGTTTTGCAATGACGCATCGCACCAAATAGGCAAGTGCACCAGGCTATTGGCTTGCTCACCAGCGGAGCGCTTCACACTGCTTAAAGGCTCGAATCTTTGCTTCAATTGCTTGAAACCTGGACATTCTACTAAGGCATGTGGCTCAACTAATTGTCGCATATGCAATGGCAGGCATCACACTCTACTATGCCGAAGTTCACCAGCGCAAACTCCTCCTTTGCAAAAGTCCAAACAGCAGGCACAAACTACACCTCAGGCACCAGCGAAACCGAACCAGGCTGGCATCCCACCACGTGTGCATCAGTGACTACACCATCCAATGCAGACATTCGCTACTATAGGCAATCGGGTTATACTCTTGGCAACAGCACAAATACGCATCTTAAATGGCTTTGGCGATATCGACTCGTGTCGAGCTCTATGCGATCCAGGCTCTCAGGTAAGTCTAATGAGTACGCGATATTTTAATCAACTGGCTCTGCGGAAGCAGAAAAGTGCATTGCAATTACAAGGCGTTGGCAGTGGCAATCGTTCATATACTAATGGCCGGGCAGTCTTGCGCATATTTTCGACTGTCAATGCTTTATTTGGCTTGGATGTTGAATTCTACATCATCAACAAAATTACCTCAGCAATCCCTGTGGCTCCAATCATGGAAAACTGTTAGCAGCATTTACGCAATTTGCCCTTGGCAGACCCGAAATTTGGCGAAACTGGTGTTATAGATGCATTGCTTGGCTCAGACGTATGGGGCCAATTGTTGGCAGATGGCATAGTTCGTGGCGAGCTTGATGATCCTGTGGCACAAAATACGCAATTAGGCTGGGTTGTATTCGGACCAGCCGAAGCAACCATGCATAATTACAAGGCGGAACAATCTATGGCATTGCGTGTGGAGGCGCCTGATGAGCGAGTTGATGACCTTCTACACAGGCTATTTGAATCCAAAGAAATTGGCATGGCTAAAGGCGATACACTAGCAGCAGTTGATCTTTGCGAGTGCATTTTCATGAGCACACATAAGCGTTTTGATGATGGCAGTTATTGTGTACAAATACCATTTACACCAGATGCTCCACCACTTGGCAATTCACATCAGATGGCACTCAGGCAATTTCACCAGTTGGAATGAAAATTGGCATCTAACTCAGAGCTCAGGCAAAGATATGTGGCCTTTATGCGCTAATACGAACAGCTTGGTCACATGCACCCTATTCAGCATCATTTAGCCGACCCAACTCAGGCATACTACATTCAACATCATGCAGTTATGGCGAAATTCCGAGTCGTTTTCAATGCTTCTGCAAAAACTCCAAATGGCATCTCATTAAAGGATACACAATTGGCTGACCCTACAATACAGGATTTATTACTTAACCTTTTACTTAGCTTCAGACAGCATCGCATTGCATTCACAGCTGATGTGGAGAAAATGTTCAGGCAAGTCAAAATTGACGTCAGGCACAGGCAATGGCAACAGATACTCTGGCGGGAATCATCCGATCAACCCATTCGCACATATCAATTGGCTGCCGTTACATATGGCACAACCAGTGGCAAATATTTGGGTGTTCTCGCTATGCAGCAATGTAGTAGAGACAATTCTCATAAACTCCCAGATGAACTACGAGCTAAAACTGCTTTGTGCAGCATCCTGAATGATTTCTACGTGAATGACTACCTTAAGAGTATACTTTCCTTTGGCATGGTAATTCAACTGGCGACCGATGTCTCATATGTGTTGGCAGAAGGACAGTTTCATCTCAGTAAATGGAAATCAAATAGCACTGAAGTCTTAGCACACCTTCTTGGCGATGCTGATCCACGTCAGCTTAATCCACATTTGGCAGAAACCACTGTTCTTGGCTTACATTGGGATCCACTTCCCGATAAACTCTTCTATCAGGTCAGCTCTTATGATAGACAGCATTTCACTAAAAGGCAAGTGCTTAGCGATGCTGCAAAATTATATGATCCAATTGGCATGTTAGCACCAGTCATAATCACGGCTAAGCTTTTCATACAAAAACTCTGGCAGGCAAAATTGGCATGGGACGACCCATTACCGCTTGAACTGTTGCAAGAATGGCTCATATACTGAAGACAGTTGTCGCAACTGGAGGCAGTGCGAATACCGCATTGGATAGGTATACAACCTGGAGATGAAATACAACTACATAGCTTCTGCGATGCTAGTGTTAAGGCGATGGCTGCAGTACTCTATTTGGCAACAAACCATGATGGCAAAATCACTAGTCACATCTTCGATCAAAAACTAAAGTGGCACCATTACATTCGGTAACAGTACCCCGATTGGAACTTTAGCTACGCAAAAACACATCACAATTAAAGCAGTACGTTGCTAATCGCGTTGGCTGCGTTCAATCGATGACAGATATTAGGCATTGGCTACACATTATGGTGGCATTGCCCTAATTCAACTGATTATCAAATCAATGAGCTGCATAACTGTGGACCAACAGAGCTGGCAATAATGAAAGGCGAGTTTAAACCACTTAAGGTAAAGACATTGCAGGTAATGGGCCAACCCGCATTACAGACACACTACACTGCTGGCGACGAATTGGTCGTCATAGATCTGTTGGACCGGTTCAGTCATCTTGGCAAGCTATTGCGCACTACTGCATACATATTGCGTTGCAAAAAGGCACATCATCGTTTTCGTTCGCATACACACATCTGTATAGGCGAAATGGACATTGCTTTAAATCACCACATCAAGGCAGAACAAGCGAAATATTTCGCATCGGAAATTAAGCAGCTGAAAAAGGCACAGCCCATATCCACATCCAGCAAGATCATTGCACTGAGTCCATTCATCAACTCCACAGCGGACAATATATTGCGAGTAGGCGGACGCCTACACAATGCGAGGGTGGCAGAGCCACAGCGTCATCCAATCATTCTTCCGAAGGATAGCACATTGGCCAGGCTTTTAATATGGCAGGTGCATCAGGACACACTTCATGGCGGTATACAAATCATGCTTCATACGATTCGACACAAATATTGGATTCTACAGGCACGCATTTTGGTTAAGCAATGCATACACTCATGCGCGATTTGCAGGCGGCATAAACACATAATGCTAAAACAACGTATGGCGACATTACCAAAGGCTCTGGTCACCCCATCTCCACCATTTGCAAGATCTGGCTTAGACTATTGCGGTCCATTCAACATACGCATTGGCTCCAAGGCTGTACGAACAGTGCGGAAGGCTTACGTGGCAATCTTTGTGTGCATGGTAACCAAGGCAGTGCACATCGAACTGGCTGAAGATCTCACTTCTGAGGCTTTCATAAATGCATACACCCGTTTCGTAAACCGGCGTGGTCCATGTAATCATTTATACAGTGACAATGGCACTACATTCATTGGCGCAGATCGCTTAATGGCCGCTGACTTACAGGCTTGGCATAATGAATATTCTCAACAGCAATTGGCAAATCGAGGCACAAAATGGCATTTTCTACCACCTGGCGCACCTCATCAAGGCGGTCTATGGGAAGCTGCCGTTAAGTCAGCGAAGAAGCACTTACTACGCATTGTTGGCATCCATTCCATTTACTATGATCAGCTACATACTCTACTTGTACATATCGAGGCTTGCTTGAATTCACGTCCACTTATACCATTGCATGACACTTGTGACGACAAGATGGCTCTATCACCTGCAGATTTCCTGATTGGCAGATCTCTATTGGCAGTACCAGACGCACCTATTGGCAAGGTACCTAGCAACAAATTATCATACTAGCGACAATTAAGGCAAATGCAACAGCATTTTTGGCGACAATGGCATGATGAATATCTTTCAACTTTGCAACCACGTTCCAAATGGCATCAGAATGGCGACAACATCAACATAGGCGATGTCGTGGTTATCCGGCCCGAGAATCTACCAGCTACACATTGGCGGCTTGGCAGGGTGATTAAACATCACCCAGGCGAAGATGGTTTGGTCCGAGTAGTCACGATCAAGCATTCAGCAGGCGAATGCATGCGACCTATCCAAAAGATATGCAGGCTTGTGGAGCATCCTGAACGTACCCGTCCAGCCGGGGAGGATGTTTGAGATTTGGCACAGCAACTAGGCGATATGGCAGCACACATTTAGTAGTTTTTGACGATGGCATCCTAACATCTGGCAGCAATAATTTTGGCTTCGCTTTTTTGCTTTTTCCTTCTCCTTCTTCTTAATTGGCTACTGGTGGTGCGTGCACGTTTTTTTGGCTTGACAAGATATTAATAATTTATCAGTTCAAAATTTGAATAAGAATGTAATAAAATTTAATTGACTATATCCTTAACGAATAAATACATAAACTTTTGCGTGTGTGGAAATTCGTGTTTGTTTTTCATACAATAATCGATTCTTGATCACACGAATGGTGAAGATTTTTTACTATAACTTTTATAAGTTTGCTTGTCTTCGTAGCTGAACCAGGAAATATTTTCGTGACTTAATAGTTTTGTAACAGATCTATAGTCAAAAGAGTCAAAAATTGATACTCTATATGAACCATTATTTATAAGTCCACAAAAAACTTGTTTTTTATAGTTGCAATAAGTTGGGCATGTAATTTTTTAAAATCATTTATGCCATTGATAACAATAGGAGGAGGTCGAGCAATTTTATTAGGGGCAGCTTGTCCTTTTTGGCAAATATTTGTTTCAACAGTAGGTCTACTTTGACTAGCTACTTCAGGAGAGGATTCAGCCTTACGTTTTTTAGTTGGTCTTTTCTTTTTTAAGATCCAGTCTGTCTCTCTGTCAAGTTCCTCCTCATCGGTTTCATACTTTGCAATTTCTGGTACGTTTTTAAAAGATTTTAATTTTTCGTTTTCACTTCTCAGTGCAGTTAACTCATTGGATAATAATGAATATAAATTTTCAAGCTTTATAATTTTATTCTGAAGTTCTGTATTTTCCTTTTCAAGTTTGATCATTTTTTCTTTATTTCCACCACCGGAAGGTGGGGTATTAGCATCAGTCATATTAATTTTAAATTAATACTACTTTTAGCGCGTATATTTATACTAATAATATAAATTTAAATTTAAATTTTTACCTTAAAATTTATAAATAAATATTTTTTAGCGTCCTTTCGCGTATTTATTTATTTAGCATTTGTTAGTTATTTAGCTATATTAATTACACAATTTATTTAGTATTTATAGATTTGTTTACAACAATTTTCTTGTGATTTAATTTAAACTTAAAAGCTTTATTTGCTGTCTCTATCAGCTGTTTTTAAATGTGTGCGAATTTGAGGCAAAATTAACCACTTCAAAAACAAAGTAATTCCACAAAACCAAAATCCGCTTTTTTACATAAAAACAATATAAATATGTTAATATTTTATTTTGTCGGGCACTATATTTTATAAATTTTTTAAAGAGTCACTGTCTCGGTTTTATTTTTTTTGTGATAAATTTAAATTAATTCATACGTTTTACACTTAGAAAAAACATCAAAGTACGCAGTGATATTTTTTGCGCGTGCACCTCAAGTCTATTTAATTAAATTCAAAAAAGTATTAATGGCAATCATATTTTCTTCTTCAGAAGTTACAGATTATGTATCAATAATGAAATGAAAATTAATAAAATCAATGTAAAAACCATAAAAAAATATTTTGTTTTTAGTTCCTTACAGTTTCTTTCCTATAACATTTCTTACCTGTGTATAGTATTTTTCCAACTGTAGCAAAATAACACTTCACCGAAAAAGGTAGGTGTGATAATGTGCTGCAGTTTTTAGGTAGTTCGACTAGTATGAAACTAATTAACTTATTAATTCATCTATATAAGAAAAAAGTTTATTAAACGGTTTCATTATGTTAAAATTCGTAATTTAAAAACAGAAATAATGCGGAACTAGTTTAAAATGTTAATATTTTATGTATACATTTATTTTAAAAATAAAAAGTAAACATTTTTGTATAGTTTTCCTTCGAAAATTGATTTCATGGTACTTTGGTGCGTATGAGTAACGTGAAGGACACCTGATTAATTAATTTTTTTTAATTACTTCTAAAATGAATATCATAGTCGAAATATTTATTTTTGAAGTAGAATTTATATATTAATTTGAATCAAAACTAAAAAAAAAATTTTTGTGATATATGCCTTTTTTTTTTTTACTGAAAAATCGTGTGTATGTATTTGGTGTGATATGAAGGATAAATAAATTTTTAAAAGTACTTCTAATTACATTATTGTCCTGAAATTTTTGGGTTTTATGTAGAATTTTATTACTAATCGAAATCAAAAATATTATATAAGAATATATGTAGTATATTCTTTAAAAATACATTCAATAAAAATGTAGTACGCATGTGCTTGATGTGTTTTGCGGGAGAAAAAAAAATATTAAAAAATTTCAAAAAATAACCGCATCCTAAAAATTTTTATTTCGTAGTAAAATTTAAAACTGAATCTAAATAAAACATAAAAAATGGAATCCCAGGGGATATATTTTAAGAAAAATTTTTTTTTGAAATTTAATAGTTAATATTAGTACTTAAATATAAACAAATTTAATTGTTTAAACAATTTTATAAAAGTTCAATCAATTATCTTTGAAACGCTGTAAACTTCAAGTTTCTACCTTTTATAGAACTTGAGATATAGCCATTTGAAAATGTGTCTACTATGCCAGTTCTCAAAACCCCATGGGTCCATATCTCCTAGAAAAAAATTCACAAAATTTTTTCCCGAGATACGGGTCTTCTTATTTTATGAAAGGAGCTCATAAAAGATTTCAGCCAAATCGGAGATCATGAGATCAAAAAGGTGTCCGAGTTGTAAAAGAATGACCCATATACAGCTGCAGCATATCCTGTTTCTGATGCATCCGCAAATCCATATAGATCAATTAAACTGTTCTCTGAATGTTGTGTTCATTTAAATTCTTCGAATAGTTTTCCAGCATCACCTAGAATTACTATTTTTGTATATTTGGAACTGAATGACGTGGTGTTTATTTTAAATTCAAATTGATCCAAGATAGAACACCATTTTATTCAAAATATTGTAATTGCTTGGCGTTGTTAAATTGCATCTCTGTTTCCAC